CCCTACCTGATTTCCTCCTTTGTATCAACACCCCACCTCCTGCTCTCCACTCATCAGTGAATGGGCCTTTGGGAGGTCTCCCCTCCCTGTTGTTGTGAATAACGCAGCGGTGACATCCACATACCGTGTGCCCGAGGCCATGCTTTCCTTTCTCGGGGTATAGCCGAGAGGTGGAATTGCTACATCATGTGGCAGCACTGATCTTCGGAGGGCCTCCCAAAGCAGCCAGACCAGTCGGCCTCCTCACAGGGTCTCCAGCATTTAGCTCCCCCACAGCCCACCAACACTCTCTGCTGCCCGTCTTGCTATAAACACCCTAGTGGGTGTGGAATAGTATCTTCTTGGTTTTGATTGGCATTTGCCTGACGACTAAGGCTGTCCTGGGTGCTTTCATATACTTACTGGACATTTGTATATCTTTCTTGGGAGAAACTTCTATTCAAATCCTTAGACCATTTTTAATTATTTGCCTTTGATTTTTGGATTTTAAAGGCCATTAGTATATTCTTAATACAAGCCAGTAATGTGGTATTCAATTTGCAAACGTTTCTCCCATTCTGTGGTTGTCTTTCCACTTTCTGGTGGTGTTCTTTGAAGAACAAAGGTTCTTAATTTTGATGATGTCCAGTTTATCTATTTTTTTTTCCTTTTGTTCCATACACCTTGTATCCTGTCTAAAAAACAGGTTCCCAATCCCATCCCTGATCACGAAAATTTACTGTATGTTTTCTTCTAATAGTATTATAGCTTTAACTCTTCCATTTAGGTCTTTGGCCTATTTTGAGTTAATTTTTGTGTATGTGAGATGAGACCCAGCTTTATTTTTTGCGTGAGGATATCCAGCTGGCCCAGTGTTGCTTGTTGAAAAGATTACAATTTCCCCCACTGGTAGAAAACCAAGTGGCCTTCAGTGCAAGGTGCACCTGACTCTCCTCACTCTGTTTTCTTGCTATACATTGAGCTACTTATCTGCCCCATGTTCATAATTGTGCCTTTGTATTATGTTCTGACTCAGCAAACGTTGAGCCCTCTTTGTTCTTTGTTTTAAGATTGTCCTCAGTATTGTGTTCCCTGAATTTCTGTATGAATTTCGGGATCACCTTGCCAATTGCAGCAGAGAAGCCAGCTATCACTTTGATGAGGATTTCACTGAATCTGTAAAATTTATGTAATATGGAGTAATATGAAGTCTTCCATCCATTTAGGTCTTCTTTGATTTCTTTCAACACTGTTGTATAGTTGTCAGAATGTACTTTTTGCACTTCTTTCATTATATCTATTTCTTAAGTATTCCATTCTTGTTGCTGCTAGTATTAGAGAATTTTTTATTTCACTTTTGGTTTGCGATTGCTACTGTATAGAAATGAAATTTATTTTTGCACACTGTTCTTGTGTCCTGCGACCTTGCTGGACTCATTATCAGCTCCTGTGATTTGCTTACCCACCAACAGCTCCACCTTGGGCTCCGTCTTCCCACACTCTGTTTCAAATAAACCCAGTTGTTCTAGGAGAAGCTTTGGATCTCTGGGTTCTTGTAGACAACCTTCCTGGCTCAAACTAAATGTCGGAACCACTTCTGTAGCACAGGGAAGAGGTGGTGGTCCTTGGTCTTCTTGGCTTCCCTACTGAACATGGAACTCCCGTCCTGAAGCAAGGGTGTGCAGTGATGAGGGCCCAGTACTCTTGGCTGTGATGCTGGTCCCTCCTGAGTGGGAGCTGGTGGAGGAGGGGAGCCTCTGACTCTAGGCCATGCCAACTGGAATAGAGGCTCTTCAGCCTGCTGTGGGCAAGAATGAGAAATGCTTCCCCCAGACAGATGCTGTAGAGAAGGGAGAGGGAGCCCCACCTTTCTGACCACACACCTCTGCCTGGAGCTTCTACTCAGCTGAGCTGTGGGAGGAGGGCAGGAGCAGCATGTGGCTTCCACACCCAGCCGCTCCACAGTCTTGCCAAGTCTTAGCCCACTTTCTTGAATAGATTTCTGTTCAGTGTGGTGTGCCTTTAAGACAATTCCCAGAGACGAAGTTTTCTTAAAAATAGTTATCACAGTTATGACTGTCCACTGAGGAGTGGGTCTGCGGAGCTCCTTGTGCTTCCATCCCAGAAGCAGAACCCCTTCCTGCATGGTGTGGAATCAGGGCCGATTCTCCGTGCTGTGTCTTGCAGTTCCCACCATCCTGCCCACAAGTCTGTACACAGTTCTTTCACCAGATTCTCTTCAAGTTGCCCAGTGAGTGTCCTCATGCTTCCTGCTACACTCCAAACTCATGAAACAGAGTGTCCTGAGGGCAGAGACGACACAGCTCACCATCCCGCCTCTCCAACTGTCCCACAGGGGCCATTGCATCCACCCCAGAGCCTTCTAGTGGGTTGATGGCAGGAGACCCACAGGCAGAGGCAGGATGCTCAGTGACTGCTCCTTGTGGCTTCCTCTTGATGTGGATCACACCACTCCTGTGGCAGCAGATGCAGCTGTGGCAACTGTGGTCATGAAGCAAACGGGCAGCTGGGGTGGGACTGGTGGGAGGAACCCAGCCCTCAGTGCGCAGCTCCCTTAGGCCTTATTAGTTGTAAAGGACTCCAGCTCCCAGGAACAAATGGAGCAAAAGATCTTAAAGGATGAGAAACAGAGAAGGAAACAAACCCACACAGGAGAAACTTCAGAGTTCTCAGTTAACCACCCGGGTACAGTCTCCAACTCCTCAGTGACTGTGCTGCTCCCCCAGGAGAGTGGAGGAAGGCGGGAAGCTATACAAGAGGGAGACCCAGGAGAAACGGGTAGGAAACCCACAAGCTCCAGCCTTAGGAGCCCACGCCACACCCGGGGCAGTGGAAAGCACAGCCCTCACCACCCAGGCAGCACCTCCAGGGAGCTGCTTCCCGTCAGGGTTCTTCCTTCTGCTGAGCCTGGATTTCTTCTGAGTCCTCCTCCTGAGATTGCTGCCCTTGCCATACCCCTTCACGTCTCACTTCTGTTATTAAAAGTCTGGAAACAAAAGGTGGCTTCAGCACAGACATTTAGCACTACTGAAAAACATCAGCCATCCCAGTCCTGGGCCATCACTCATCAGCCCTTCACTGTCACTGGCTAGGTCTTGCCTTGGGCGCAACTGTTCCATCCCCCCAGAGCCCTGTTTCTCTGTCTCCCCAAACTCTCCCTTTCCTCCCATTTTCAGCTCCCAGTCTTCTGTACCTATATTTAAAAAACAAAACAAACAACAACAAAACTGTCCTAGTCTGTTTTCTGTTGCTATAACAAAATACCCAGAACTGGGTAATTTATAAAGAAATTCATTTGGCTCAGTTTTGGAGACTGAGAAGTTCAAGAGCAGGTACTCAGCATTTGGTGAGGGACTTTTGCTGCATCATAATGTGGCAGAGGGCATCAGGTGGTGAGACAGCAGGTGAGTAGCTCAGGTCCCACTTCCTCTTCTTATAAAGCCAGGGATGCCAGGAGGGGGCTCTAGCCTCATGCTCTCCTCTAATCCTAATCACCTCCCAGAGGCTCCACTTCCAAATAACATGAATTTGTGGGTTGTTTCCAACATACAAACTGTGGGAGTGCATTCAAACCACCACCAAAACAGGCTGGCTCTTCAAATGGCTCCCCAAACTCTGCTTCAAACTTGTGATCATATAAAGCCCCACAGATTTTTGTATTCAGCACAGAGCTGTCTACTTTGGTCTCCACTTGTAACATCCTAAGTCACCTGAAAAGCTTTAAATTATAGTTTTTTTTCTTTCTGATCAAATTGCCAGCCAGGGCTTCCAGTGAATGATTGCCTCAAAACAGGCTGGGCTCATCATTACATATTAAAACTTTAAATCTTGCTCCTCTGATTTATGTCAGATGATCTGAAAATCATGTTTACCCCAGTCCTTCTCTTCTGCGTAGCTATTGATGAAATCTGGGTGAACTTTAGCCATCCAAAATACCTCTAGCTTGTTACTTATGTACCTTTGCATTGTACTCTTGCACGTTACCAAGTTTTCCATTTATGATAGAAAATACCTCAGATAACCAACTTATGAAGGGGAGATTTATTTTGGATCCCAGTTTCGCAAGTTTCAGCCCATGGTCAGGAGCCCATTGCTTTGGGGCCTGTGGAGGCACATTACTGCAGAAGCATGTGGCAGGGCAAAGCTAGGATGCAAAAGAGAAGAGGAAGGCCCTGGGTCCCAATATCTGCTTCAAGGAAACCTCTCAAGACACATCCTCAGTGACCTACTTCATCCCACTAGGCCCACAACCCTACAAGTCCCTCTACCATGCAACAGCACCCTCAGCTGGGGACCACACCTTCAACTCGTGGCCTTTGGGGATATTCCAGATCCAACCCACAAGGGGCCCTGCATTTTAAATTTGCTCTGAGCCCACGGAATACATAGCTTGTGGTGCAGCAGGAAACAAAGTCTCTTCCCCAGGGTTCTTTTGCGGGTCAGGAAAAACAATGTGAACCTACATAACACACAACACAGTGTTCGCTCTAGAGCAAGTTACAAGACCTGGGATTAGATTGTGTAAGCGTTGACAGATAGTAAGGACTATGGATTTCAGGGGTTGGAAGCGTAATGAAATGTCACTTGTTTCAGAAATCCGTGCTTCGGCTGCGGAGCAGAAAGCCCAGAAAGAGGGAGGGGCGGGAGCGGTGGGCGGACACGCGGGTCAGCACGTGGGGGTGCAGGTGTGAGCGGGCGCCCGCCCAGGAGGGAGGCGTCCCAGGCCGGTCGGCAGCTTTCCTTGGCACGCGTATTGGGTGTCAGAGTGCGCGCAGCAAACAGGCTTTCGCCACCTTGGAACTCAGACCGCTTCTCCTACCTCCCGGGGCATAGCATCGGAGCCCGGGAAACTGCCTTGGCCAGAAACAGGAAGGCTCAAAAGAAAGGCCTCCCTGTCGTCCATGACGGCTTTCCTTACTGAAAGCGTAACTCTGCCACTCTTTCTCTCCGCCGTGCGCCTGAGCACCAGCAGTCCACACGCGCCAACCCCGCCTTCGGCTGGCCGCGCCTTCCGGGAGCAGCTTCCGGCTCCCCGAGCTGGTCCTCCAGGACACCGAGAGCGTCGGCCAGAGCGCCGGCGCCCTCTTCCCCATTGCGGCGTCGTCTGACGACGTGCCGGAATCAACATCGCGCCTGCGCCTGCGCCTGCGCCTTCCGCGGCGACGGTGGCTCTGTGCGTACGTCATCGCGGGCGCGACGCCCCTAGGGACAGTCAGGGGTCTGGCGGTCCAGAGGTGCGGCTGTAAGACCGCCCGGGAAGATGCCAGTGGCGGTGATGGCGGAAGGCGCCTTCAGTTTCAAAAAGTTGCTGGATCAGTGCGAGAACCAGGAGCTCGAGGTCGTCGTCTGCGCCTCGCGGGGAGGACTGGGGCGGCGCGGGTTTCCAGGGTAACGGGGCCGGGCCTGGGGCTCGGGCGCGCGCCCGCCGGGAGGGACGCGCTGGCAGCTTCTGGTGGTCTGTGCTTGGTTTTGCGCCCGGAGCCGCCTCGCGTCTTTTCTCCGGAGCCCAGGGACGCGCTTCCCGTGGTGGGGACCGCACGTCTCGCGGGCCGTGTCGGGGCGGGCGGGCGGGCAGCCGCCGCAGGACGAGGCCACCGTTTCTCGTGGCCCCAAGCCCTCTTAGTCCCGCGTCGTCGTTACCAAGTGAACCTGCCCTTTCCTCTAGTGGGACGCGTGACAGCGCTGTCGTGCCTTGGTGACAAGTTTCCACATTTCTTAGAAAGGCACCCGGCGGGCGCTCACGACGTGGGTGTGAGTCACTTACTAAAGGAGAGCGGCCACGAGCAGCGGCACGAGCAGCAGGCGCTTCGTGGCTCTTTTGTAAAGAAACTAAGTTGAACCCGGAGAGCGGCGTTGGTCGGCCCCTCGCCCCCTTAAACTCCCAGCGTGTTCCATATAAAGGACAGTCATACTGCTTAGGAGCCTTTAGACGGTATTTGTTTCTCATAAGAGTATTTAAATAAAAATTTGAGAACTGGGAAAAGGACTAGCTTAAATATTCTTGTGTGTATAAAATAGCAGACCCAAAAGAAGATAAATACCAGCTGATGACAAATCTAATCTTAGTACTGTGGGGTTTAGTGCTTAGTATTTCTCTGATCTGTGTCTACATTTATGATAGTACCGTAAGATGGGCTTCATTTTTAAATTAGTGTTAACGAACCTTTTATCTTTATGAAAGCATAAGAGTAAATGAGGTTTTTCTCCTATTTTTGACTTTAAAGGCTCCTGGAGGAATTGCTACACCCCCAGTGTATGGTCAGCTTTTAGCTTTATATTTGCTTCACAATGACATGTAAGTTCCTTTTACCTGAAACTAACAGTAGCTGCTTCTTCACGGTTACACGGGAATTAGTTTTGCCTTTAAGTAGACCATGTAACTCAGGCACAATGGGCTGTATCTCCTATTATGATACCTATTATACCTATTTCCTTTTCAATCAAAGCATAATGAATTATGTTTAGATGGTTGTGTTAAGATAGATTTGTTTTACAAATGCCTTTCAAAAAGCATTTTAATTTATTATGAGAAACTACAGTGTAGTGAATTCCTTTCTTCCATTGAACTTTTTTTTTAATCTTATGATCTCTCTGTTCCTAACTTTACATATAATCAGTAGATCAAAAGAAGCTTAAAGGGAAGATTGAGAAAGCCAAAAATTCATTATCAACATGTATGAGATTTCCTAGAATTTTTTTTTTTAATTTCTATTCACATTTCTTAGGAAAATAAGCATAGCTGTGCTAAAGAATAATAGTCTCCTGTGATTCTGACCCATCCTGGTAAAATTTTGCTTGAAATTCTTCCAAACTCTTTGATATCTTTTTAAAAAACTAAACTGAGGTTTTCATTACACATACATAAATTATTTGCTTCATTTTTTTATAATACCATTATTTTGTATTTGTTTCAACCCCTTAAAAATTCTTGCATTGAAATTTTAGAGACTTTGTTTCCACTGCCAAGAGAGGTCTTAATGAAAAGAGCATTGTGTATCTTATTGTCAGGAAATGCCAGAGCTGTTGAAATATATAAATTGTTTATTTTTATTTGAGTAAATTATATGGGCAGTTCTGTGTATGTCTGTAATTTTAGTGTGCTTTGTTTTAGGATCTGTATCATTAATTTTAAAGATTCAAAAATGACAAAACATTATTTTGATGAAAATGTTTCATGTGTTTTTATCTGGAAAACCACTCCTATTTCTCCATGACAAATTCATATAAAACTAAATTTTACTCTGTATTGTGTGTAGTATTTTAAAGTGTACTTCTTTTTGTTTGCATTGGAGCCCAGTGATTTTAAGTACTTATTGAGCTGATGTTTAATTCGTTTTTATTTATTCATTCATTAATTCATTTTGTTCTTTGTGTAACTTAGGAATAATGCAAGATATCTTTGGAAAAGAATACCACCTGCTATAAAATCTGTAAGTATTCTTTTCAAAATAATTTAATTTCTTTAATATAGTAGTGGCATTCACTTAAGTGTCAGTCTCTTAAAACTTCTTGTTTTCATTTCCATGTCACAGAAATAGTTAAACCAACTTTGAAGTTAAAAATAGATCTTTAGATTCCTCTGAGAAATTTAAATTTCCATGGACTGGTACAGAAATCAGTGTTCCACTCCTACTGGTTAAACTTCCTGAGGTGGGGCTTGTGAGTGTGCTTCACCAGTTAACAGCTGAGCCACTTTGCATATATGATGGCAGAGGCTGAGGCGGTGGTGATTTCCAGCTGCTGTGTGCAGTTTTCTATAATGGTACTCACACATTTTTTAAACTGTTATTGTTTATAAAAATATTCAAAAAGTGACTATTCACAGCATTAAAATTAATTTCAAGTGATAACTCTCTTTTCCTTTTTAGTAGATTGGAACATTCCTGAGCTTTTTTGGCTAATAAATAAGAACTATAAATTAAACACATAGTTTCTGTAATATTAGTGGAAACTTTGATGTTAGGTTACAGTGAATGGCTCTTTGATTGACAGTCTGTTAATAGCCAGTTCACTATCACTCTTTGTCCTAAATTTATATGTATTTGCATAAGTATAAAATATTTATATGAGAAAAATTAATGGAACCGTCTTTAAAAATAACAGTGCTTAAGATAATTCACCTGCAGGCTTAATTCTGAAATATTTTTTAACTACTTTCTCTTGCTTTAATTTGCTGTTGTATTAAAAATTGTGTATTAAATGTACAAATATTTTCCACAGTTTATAATAACCTCGGCAGTAGAAAAAATAATTGCATCTCTTAAAAGAAATGTTGAATTATGTCTTAGTATAACAACTCAAAAGAGTTTTATGTCATTTCTGGTATTTTAAGGTACAGTTATAAGTACATTGCAGAATGAATACCTTCAAAGGCAATAATATATATTGCAGGCAAATTCTGAACTTGGGGGAATTTGGTCAGTAGGACAGAGAATCTGGCAGCGGGATTTCCCTGGTATCTACATGACCATCAGCGCCCACCAGTGGTCTGAGACAGTACAGCCAATCATGGACGCACTTAGAGGTAACATTTCTTTCAGAACCTATGTTGGACTAAGTGCATCTCCCTAGGTGCTGCAGGGTGGAAGTAAATCAGTGTGTTTTAAAAGTAGATATTTTCTCATAGGCAAGTGAGCTGGTCTTCAAAATTCAGTGTTAATATTTGTTCTACTCTTCTTCATTGTATGTTGCTTGAGACTATATCAGCAGCTAAGGGCTTCATTGTCTTTTTATTCTAGATAAAATTGCTTTTGTTAGTAACAGAGTTTTTACTATTAAATCCGGTATTACTGTCACTCATGGTATGGATGGGTAAATCTGGGCTTCAGATTTTGTTAGCCTCAGACTTTGATAACTGTTGTCTCCAATTTCTGGATTTTTAACTAATCAGTTGAATGCATAGATGCGCAAATGTGTTTTTAATTTCTTTGAAAGGTTGTAAGCCTGGCTTCACATAGCACTGTCCCATGACAAAAATCACGTCTCAGCCTCTCTCCATTCAGCCACCACTAGCGTTTGCTTCTGGTCTTCTTGGCTCACTGTTTGATAAGTGTATACAATAATTGCATTACATTGTTGTCTTCTTTACAGATGGTAAAGATTGTTTTTGAGATACATATAATTACCTTGAGATGGTAAAACAGAACAATGTAAATTATAAAACTGGACACATCTACGTTAAATATGAATGAAAATGAGCAGAATTTCAGGGCAGGCAGCTGGGTGAGAAGGGAGCAGAGTGGAATCAAGTTGTACAAGTACAGTGGGCTCGTTTTGAAAACTGCCTTCTGAAGAATTCAGATATGCCTCCAGGATTTATTGTAGTAACGGACTTTCTTAGCTAGGGGCTCATTCTGTTAATGGCAGTAGCGAGGACCCAGGATGAGGCTTGAGACTCCCAACTTAGTCGGCAAGTGTTCTGTGGTATGCCTTTGGTCTCTGGTTTCATTTCTTCCGAGCACCTTTTCTCACCATGGAGTCTCTGTTAGAGTTAAGAATTGAAGCAGCTCGCAGACCCTTTAAGAACTGTATAGCACTACTTGTGGGGCTTGCTCTCTGGAGCCTGGCTTCCTGGTGTTTACTTCTGGTTTGGTCACTTGTTGAAGATGACCTCGCAGTGCTTCATTTTTGTCGTTTGTGGAACAGAATTAGAAATAGTACTTTCCTCAGGTTGTTAGGATGAATTAATATGTTTAAACACCTGTGTTCTAAAGCATTCATCTCTTTACCTACAATATGCATGAACATACTCTTGAGACTTTTACAACTCCCCAAATTCATAAATAGTAGCATGTTTTCCCCCATAAATTGCAGCCTGTTGAGAGTAGTGTCATAGCAGATTTGAGTTACTGCTGAGTGTAATAGTTTGCTTTTCAATGCATTACACATTTGTTCTCTAGTTAAGAACAATGACTAAATTAATTAATTTTCTGTTGTTACAACAAAGTGCCTGAGGTTAGGTACTTTATAAAGAAAATAAGTTTATTTAACTCACAGATTTGGAGGCCATAAGTCCAGGATTGGACAGTCGTGTCTGTGTGACCTCTGGTGAGAGTTTCGTGGTGGATGGCATCACAGTGGCAAAAACACCAGTGGAAGAGATCACATGGTCAGGCAGGAAGCCAGAGATTTTCAGGGGCCAGGCTTGCTCTTTTGGTAAAAATCTGTTCTCGTGTAGCTGGGGTCCACAAGAGCTATAAATCTCCTCCAAAGGCAGTGCCCCAGTGGTCTAACTACCTTCCATTAGGCCACGCCTCTTAAGGGTTTAGGTGACATCATTACATGGAATACAAAGTTTCCAACACATAACCCTTGGGCAACACGCTGAAACAGTATCCAAACCACAAGTCACTTTCTTAGATTTCTTTCAGTTCTGTTCTAAATTAGTCATAGTCCTGTGAGGAAGGTTGAAGAAGGCTTAACAGAGACTCATGAAAACCTTGCATTCACCAGCAAGAGCTACTGAAGCTCCCGGGACTGAGGCCTGGAGGGACAGGGCAGGGTACTGGTAACTGTGGGAAGGGGGCTGCCTAGCAGGAGCTGTGGATTCAGATCAGTTGGAGAAAGTCAGGGAGGGAGCAGAGGACGTTCCCTGACCTTTGCCTCTGGCCTGTGATGCCTGATGGAGCCCCCACTCGCCAAGCCAAGGAGCTCAGATGCTCCAGTCATTGGCAGCCATCTTCCCTGCACACAGCAGGGTAGAGAGGGAGAGTGGGTTAGAGGGTGGCACCCTGACCAGCTCATCTGCCCTCTGTCTCTAGCACTGGCAGAGGCAGTCCTTGGGGGTGATGGGCACCCCAGTATTGGTTGAACACTGAATGGGCATTCCTGTGAGGGACCTCTGCTTCCACTAAGAACATGTCCCATGTTTGGTCACCACAGTGTTGGGTGCTGGCTCAGTTCCGTCCACTAGCATGTGTCATTGGTATGCATACCTTCATGATGTGACAAACTGCACAGCTCCTGAGGGTCACAGAGTGACTGGTCAGAATGTGTTGTGTAAATCATTTATGCCAAGTGGAAAGTAGCCGAATGCTGCATCCTCTGCTGGTGCTGGGATTGCCGAGCCTTTGTTTTGCTTCCCTCGGCAACCTGCTTCTGTCCCCCAGCGTGTTCAGTTTCCCAGTTATACCTCTTGCTGCTTCTCGCCTCCCCTTCAGCTGTCCTCTTCACACTCTATTTCTGTTCTGCTCCCTACCCAAAAGCCTGATCAGAATATTTGAAGGAGACAATATTTTTAAAACACCGTAGGCTTGCCAGGCCAATGTAGCTGTGTGGCATACGCTTGTATTTTCCCAAGGAGGCAAATATGTGTCCCTTGTCCATTGCTGCCTCAGTTCTTTCAACTGAATGTCTGTAGCCTTCAACAGAAAAAGTCCCAGTATCTCTAAATTGTTTTAAAAGTCTGTTTAGTTAGGTTGTCTGTGGGTTGGTAGAAAGAAAGAAGGAGCCAAGTGCAGGACAGTGGCAGTGAAGGAACAGCTGAGTGTCAGTGATTTCCAAGGATTATGAGAAAGCAAGGCCTTAACCTGGGGACCTGGGGTCATGCACCATTGGGTCCTGGTGACACGGCCCACAAGCTTGTGCTCATCACATGCCTCACTGGAGGTACTAGCCACGTTGGGGATATAAAGACAAAATCGACAGCATTGTTTTGTCCGGAATTTTGGAATATAATTGAGAAGCTGGAGGTGGGCGGAACAATGTATACCTTAGATGGTTAAAAAAAAAGCTTATTAAATTAGAAACGTAAACAGTAATGCTATGAATTTAGAGAGGGATGGAGATTGTCCAGAATCGCAGTGCTGTAGGAGCAGTTTATAAACACATCTCGGAAGAGTTGCAGAGAGGAGGCTGTTGCAGGCCATGGAGCAGTATCACCCAAAAGCCCAGGGGTCGGAAGGAGTAAGACTGAGAGCTACGGGACTAGTTTGGAGCAAAGGATGTATGAGGGAGTTGCTATCATCGTGTTGACAGTGGCCTAGGAATGGAGAGAGGACTTCAGTATGTTATGGGTTTGTTTTATATGTGCACTTACCTATCAAGTATGGAAAGTAAAATCCAAAATGTTTCTAAGCATGTCTGCAGCCAGATGGAGGAGCCCTCGTGTCACCAAAAGTATTGGACAGGAGGAAGGTAGGCCAACTGGATGGGACAGCTCTCTCATTTGTGTGTTTAATGTGGACATGTAAGCCTGAGAAACATCCCCAAGACCATCTGAAGAGTCGATGTGGCTGGTGTCTAGACCCTCTTCTCATTAGATGCAGTCATTCAGTGTTGGCATTTAGAATTTTGAACCTAAATGAAGTTAAGAATTTGATGCAGACTTGGAAGTTAGGACTCATGCTCCATTACAAGGTTTATTCCACAACTCAGGTGTGATCATATGTTAGGGACCCTGCTGAGGTTTTCTTATTGTTCACTCCAGTGTTTATAAGGAAATACAAGAAGAATAAGAGAAACTTAAGATGTATACTTGAAGTACATAAATGTGTTTCAGTTAAATTTTTATTAGAGTTTGAGTCTTGTGTATATTAACTGTTTTCCATCTTTATAACTCTCATTGCCGTCAGATCTAAAAGGAAATGTAAGAAAAGTTTGTTTTTTATCAGCAGTATTTGAACCCTTATATGTGCTTGACAGGCACGTGCATATGCTAAGCACAGACATCTTTGGGTTGATCTGGTGTTGCTCATGAGGACTGGGCAAGGGCAGCGGTGCATGGTAACTGCTGTTAAAATGCCTGCTCTGTTGGTTCCCTCACCATCCTCCCCACTTCCACAATAGATGCCACAAGGAGACGCGCCTTTGCCCTGGTCTCTCAAGCATACACCTCGATAATCGCTGATGATTTTGCAGCTTTTGTTGGACTTCCTGTAGAAGAGGCTGTGAAAGGTACTTGAGTTTACTTTTTACTGAAAAGGAAAATAGAAGAGAGGTGTAAATTACAGGTTCACAGTGCCTTCTCTGGACCGTGAGAACAGGGTGTGTTTGGGAATTGAGGTTGTGCTGGCTTTTTAGGAACGTGATATGAAACATGTATTGCACACCACCCCCAGTGGGGCTTTGGACAACAAGCACAAATATGCTCATTGCTCACACTTAGAAATCTGTGTTTCATTCATGCTTGGTAAAGTTAGTCTCATCCTATAGCCCTGTTTAGCCCATGTTTTCCCCACATTTCCCACCTGGGCCCTGAGTGCCTATTGCCCGCTCTGCCCATTCCTGGAATATTGCATGCACTTTGTTGCATTGTTATATAATGATTGACATTTCTGCTATCCAACTAAAGTAGACGCTCCATCAAGTACCACATCTTTTCTTTTGCTTAAATTTCCAGGGCCTAGCACAGTTCTAGACACATAAAGGACAAGGTGTTTGAAGTTCCTTTTTTTCTCAGTGCTGGGAACTTAGGGCTTTATGCATTCTTAGTATGTGCTCTACCACTGAGCTACATCTCTAGCCTAGATGTATGTGGTTACTCTCATACAAACATGAATCTATGTCTTTTCTCTTAAAATTGTTCTGTGATTTATCTAATGTGTATTATATTCCAGAGCCCATACTCTTAGCTGACAGCCTGGGCATGAATCCTGGTCCCCAATATGATTATAAAAGACATCATACATTTTGCTATGCCTGTCATTAATAATATAACACTCTATATAGAACAAACCATCTGTTAGTGATTAAAGCAGCCTGGTAGAGTAGCATGAGATGCTTTGCTATGTTTCCGAAATAAGTTAACATGCAAGTAACAGGTTGATTGAAACATGTCATCTCCTGTACAAGTAGAATAGTGGATGGGTGTGGGTCTGGTGAATGTTTGGGTTACATCTTAACCTGTGTGTGAAATGTGCATTTCCAGGTATACTAGAACAAGGATGGCAAGCCGACTCCACCACCAGAATGGTTCTGCCCAGAAAGCCAGGTAGGCTGAGCTCTGTACCCATTCCTTCAGCACTAAACTCCAAGACCGCTTCAGGGTTTCAGGCCTTGAGTTTGGATAATTTGATATAAAATGCTAACATGATGGAAATAACTCACATTCTAAATATAGATAGGAGTGTTGGCACTTAAGGTAGAAAGGATCTTAAAGGTCATCTAGTCTTTAATTTTTAAAAAGGTTTTCTTGTGTACATGAGTTGTATGTAGGCATCTCATGGTCATGCGTCGTGGTTTGTGTTGACAGTTAATATCCCATCCTTTTATCTGTGGAGCCATTTCTAACTGCTCACCCTCAGTATCTGAACTTTCATCCTGTTAAGTTCCTCTCTCCTCCTTGTACTTGAGCCATACAGATTCTTCTCCTATGGCTTCGCTTTCTCTGGACTATTGTTGTCGCCTGCCTTTCAAGGCCTGAAATCCCACAAGCCTTCCCCGTCACCTTAGTCTGAGTCCACAGCCCCTCCATGTTGCTCTGCAATGAGCCACACTTGTTCCTGCTGCTGGCTTCTCTCCCTCCTGCCACCACAAGTGCTCTTATCTGCCAGCTCTTAAGAGCCAGGCTTAATGTCCACCTTCACAAACCCTTTGACATCAACCCCAGTTTCCTTCACCTGCTCTGAACACCTGCTGTTTACATACTGGTGACCACAGGCAGGTGGTACACCATGTCAGTGTGCCAAGCTATGTGAGGGTGCAGAACGGCAAGCTATGTCCCAGCCACTCTGGAGGCGAGGGAAGACTAATGAAATAGAGTCTGTCATCATCCCTGACTGAGACTCAATGGCTGTAAATGTGTATTTTATGAAAAATGGTATATTCTATGAAAGGTCTTGACAATGACTTCTGTAAATTGGGCTATGATTTTTTTTTTTTTAATTTAGTTGCAGGGGCCCTGGATGTTTCCTTTAACAGGTTTATTCCTTTATCAGGTATGTGTTTTCATATGCTCTTTTTAAAATGTTTCATTGTGCTTAGCATCGTTTTTGTAATATGTATGCATTTTTCTTAGTTCTTAAGAAACAGGTTCAATTCTATAAATTTGTCGTGATACACCTGATAGAAGGGTGAGACTGGGCTCGCCTGGTGCAGCGGCGCCCTATAGGTAGTGCGCCTCCTTACCCCACCTGGGCCCCACAGCTCCTCACTGTTGATCCAGAAGCATTCTAAATGCTGAACGCAGCTCCTCCAGGGTGGGCTCCTGTGTCATTTTGTTCACTGACAGTGTCATATTCTCCTGGAATGGAACCTAGCACCTGAGAGGCCCTCAGTAATTATTCCTGGATTAATGTCCCTGGGTAGAGGCTTTCCATGAAATGCTGTTATCTCCTAAGAGATGCTGGGCATTAAACACGCTTTGAGCCTTGGCCTAGAGAGTGTCAGTAACGGCTATAGCTGCAGTGCCGCTGTGCCTCTAGGCCAGCTGGGGAGACCATGTCTTGGAAGTGTGCAGGCCCCTTGGAGGCACAATTTTGTCTAAAAGCAGGTAGCTCCAAGAAAGTTACTTTTGGGTTAAAATTAAAGACATGAATGGGGTGGGTGGCAGAACCAAAGCGTTGTCACACTGGTATCTAACTTGAAATGTGTTTCTGTCTTCAACATGCAGAGCCTGCCCCAGTTCCACCAATCCCCAATGAACAGCAATTGGCAAGATTGACCGATTATGTGGCTTTCCTTGAAAATTGATGTACCATTCTGAATTCAGCATCCACTTCAGAATCCTGTACACTGACAAATACAGAAATGTAAAATTTTTATTTTCAATTTACTGGATGGATTATACGCACCTCAGCATTCCTTACTGAGTATGTGATAAAATACATATATAATATAAAAATATTATATATATTTTGTCCTTAAACATTATGCTAAATAGATGTTAAAGCAATTCTCATTTTGTAATATTTAACAATCTGGTTGGAGCCCATCAGTATTAAGCGGTTAGTTTATAGTTCCTGGAGATCCACAACGCGAGCTCCCTGCCTGGTGTAGAGCACAGCTGTCACTGCCATCCCTGCCTGGTGCACACCTCTGTCTGCACCACTGGTGGAGAGGCACAGCTAGAGCAGGACGATGCTCGGGGCAGAACCTGAATTGCTGGGATTGTGATTCACCCTCCTTGGAGAAAATGTTCCCTTTTCTCCCACCTCTGGGGAATCACTAATAGGTACAGAAATATAGCTAAGGAGCAAGTAGACCATTTTCCTGAATAAACCAGTTTGTTAGTGTTAGTTTTTTCCCAATACTGGGAGTGCATTCATTGCTGGCAGTGGAGGGCTTGCCGGGCACATGCCATGTTCCCACGTGTTCAGTTCAGAGGGGAAGGTTGAGTGCACAGTGCCTTGTGTGGCAGAGAAGCGTTACGGTGAGTGAGGCGCTCCATGCAACTCTCCTGCGTCCAGTTGGTTGCTGACATTTACCCTGAGGTTCAAGTTCTGCCTTTTGAAGAATTGCTGAACACCTCTTCATTCTTTATGTGACAGCCCTCCACATATTTTGAGTTTGTTTATTGTATCTTTAGGTTAAAATACCCCTTAGTTCATTTATTCTGCATTTGTTCAATAAATATTTAATTGAATTCTTCAACTGTTCCATCTGAGCTAGTTTCTAGAGTTTTCACTGTCTTGGTCTTCTGTGGATACTTTCTAGTTTGTCATTGCCTCTCAAAATAAGAATGTCTTAATTAAATAGAAAAGACCTCTATATTGAATCTGTGGTAATAATTACATAATTCATGTTTTCATTCATTTTATTGGGTATTTCAGTTTTTCTTAACATATATGGAAATATCTTTTATTTGCAATTATATTTAATCTGGATAGGAACATCATGTTGTTAAAATGTGTTTTACAACTGAGGAAATGGAAATGTGAGAAGTCTTCCAGATGTTAAGTACACATCATGTCCGTGAGCTTTGTTTTTCATGGCAGATTGGAACCAACCAACAGTTCATTGATGGGATTTTTGGAATTAGCAGTGCTGTAGAGCGTGGACCGTAGTTCTAAAAGGCGTAGAGGTACTCTCTGAGCTAACATGGAGTGACCTCCAGCTGAAAACAGAATAAAAATAAAAAAGAATTAAAAATGAATAGTGCTTCAAGGACCTGTAGAATAATATCAGGACATCTAATATAAGTGTGATCAAAATCCCCACAAGAGGAAAATTAAGTCTTTTAATCGTTTTGAAAAATATGCAAAACTTTTTCAAATTTGATGAAAAGTATACAACTCAGATTAATGAAGCTTAACCAATCTCGACCAAGATAAACACACACAATACAAAAGTATGTAATAAAAAAAAGTTAAAGCAAATGGGCATCATCTAGACAGATATGAAAGATAAGAATTCATAAACACAGAAACTAGGCAAGCAATCAGAAAATGGAGTTACATCTTTAACAGCCTGAAAGGAAAAGAAGGAATTTTTTCTTTCAGGCCTGTAAAATAGAAACTTTAAAACTATAGTTCTAAATCCAGTCAAAATGTCCTTAAAAATTAAAATCAGAAAAAAACTTTTTTAGACCAAAGAAAAATTGGAGAGTTCAACAGCAGAAAAACTTCACTGAAGTAAATATTAAAGTTCTTTCAGCAGAATAAAATTATATTAGACCCACACAGAGGAATGAGGGGTTAAAAATGATAACTATCTGGGTGTATATGAAATTAATTTAATGGCTTTAAAAGACATTTTTAAAGCAAAATAGTGTATTGGAGGATTTTTAACACGTAACATTATATGTATATAAAGCATATGGCAAAATACGATAAAGAATTAGGGGGAAATTAATATGTACTTTTATAGCATTATATGTATATAAAAGCATATGGCAAAATACAATAAAGAATTAGGGGGAAATTAATATGTACTTTCAACAATTTAATATAAAGTTAAATCATGATAAGGAGACAATCCATATAGTTAAGTCTAGAGTTGCAGTGTTCAATATGGTAGCCACTGGCTGCAGGGGGTTAAATTTAAATTAGTGAAAATGAAATGAAATTTAAAAATCAGCTCCTCAGTTGCACCAGATGCATATCAAATACTTAATAGCCACATGTGGCTACCGTATTTGAGGACACAAGTATAGAGTATTTTCAGCATTACAAAAAGTCCCAGTGGATCTTGCTGCTCTAGAATGACCACAATAACACAGGTGCAACAAGTCAATCGTGGGCATAAGAGAAGATAGTAAGTTTAAAAATACTCCATTCCAAATATGGCAGGAATCAAGAAGAGGAACCAAAAATAGATGGGGCAGATGGGAAATAAATACCTTGAGGATGGATTTAAGCCTGTTTAACATAAATAATTGTAAACACTCCAGTTTTGAAAGAGTCGTCAGTGAGTTAAGATGAAAGATCTAGCTACACTATGTGTACAAGAAACCTATCAGGGGCTGGGGTTGTGGCTCAGTGATAGAGCGCTTGCCAGGCACATGTGAGGCACTGGGTTTGTTTCTTAGCACCACATAAAAATAAGTAAATAAGATAAAATTATATTAAAAAAACCCTAGAAAGTCAGCTAAAAGTAAAAGAAATGATGTATCATTGCAAACACAAAACTGCTATGGCTATGTTAACAGATGATGTAAATTTTAGAAGGAATATTTCAAGGGATAAAGAAGGACCTTTCAACAAACATGATAAAGCAGTTTGTTCATTATGAATCCATTAAGCACCCAACAGTAGAACTTCAGAAGTACAGGAAGCCAAAACCGATAGAACTGAAAGGAGAAAAAGAAGAATCTACAATTTAGCTGGAGATTTCAATACTCATCCCATAGTAACTAATGGACCATTAGAGCATGTGAACATCACCACCAGCTCGTGGACCTGAGTGATGACCCATGGAACTAGAACTAGCCACCACCAGCAGAACCAGCCCTCACCAGACAACCGTCCTTGGCCACAGTGCAAGTCTTATGACCCTAATAGGTCCAAGCTCTGACCATAACAGTATCAAGTTAGAAACCAATAGCAGAAAATAGATGGAAGAGCTCCCCAAACTTAGTAATTTTAAAAATGTGCTTCTAAACAATCCATGGAGCAAAGAAGAAGTTAGAAGAGAAACTGAGAAATATTTCAAAATGAATGAAATTCAGAATAGGCATAATAAATTTGAGGGATAACATTAAAGCCCTACTGAGAGTGCAAGTTATATTTTTAAGTATTTATAAAAGTCTAAAATCAATTATTTAAGTTTTCTACCTTAAGAACTTAGAAGAGCAAATCAAGCCCCAGATAAATAGAAGGAAGACAACAATGAAGATGAGAAATGACATAGAAATCATACAAATAATGGGGGGAAAAAATCAATGAAACCAAAACCTATTTCTTTCAAAGGAGTCGGCTTCTTGAGGGAAATAGTTGGTTCCAGTTTTAAAAGAAGAGAATGTCTTTGAATATCTTGTGGCAGAAAGCAGGGAGGCCAAAGGACAGAGGAGCCAGCTTGGATATGAGAGTAAGTCATGATGGTCAAGAACCGTAGCTATTAAACAAGACCCCCGGTTCTGAACTGATACAGCACCCAGGAGTGGAGGGCAGGTCCAGCCAGTGGTGCGGAGTGAATGAGGAACTTAGAATATTTGGAAACTGCTGTGATCTGGTTGCTGAGTGTCCCCAAAGACACATGCTGCATGCTTGGTCCCAGAGTGAGGCTCTTGGGAAGTTGGTGGAGCCTTTAGCCTGTGAGGCCTAGCGGGAGGTCACCGGGGGAATGCCCTCAGGAGGACTTCATAGGACACCTCTTGGTGGCTCTCATGCCACCCCTGACGTTCTCCTGAGGGTTGTTATAAAAGGAGCCAGCTGGTCCCACCTGCTCTCTTCTCTCTGCTCCTGTTGGCGACGTGACTGTTTCTTTACATTCCTGCCATGGAGTTCTGCCATCCCATGCTGTCACCAGAAGGTAAAGCAGTGAGGCCACACATTGTTGGCTTTGAACCTCCAAACTATGGCCCTAAATAAACTCGGTATTTTGTTGTCGTAACGCAAAGCTAACTAACACAGAAATCACCATCATAGTTGGCAATAGGTGAGGTTCATAAATGGATAGTCAATTAGTGGATAAAAGCTTGGGAATTAAGAATATTTACAGATCCAAACGTCCTTCCTACAACGTTGACCAAAGGGAAGTATGTGAGCATTTTAGTGAATGAAACTGAGCTCCGTAACAAAGTGACCTTTATCAGTAGAGGGTCACCTCAGCACCAGGGGCCTCTGGGTACAAATGCTGAGGAGAGCACCTCAGTTCTGTGGTGTCCAAAATGTAAATGCTTCATTAATAATAAAGAAGCATAACGTTAACCCAAGATGAAGAACCTTTTACAGAATAACTGGATCTCCTTCAAAAATGTAAATTTCATAAAAACAAAAATTGAAAACTGTTCCATGTCAAAGGGAACTAAAGGCATAACCACCATAAATGCACTGCTGTGAAGCACATTCTTTGCAGTTGGTGAAATCTGGATAAACTGTAGGGTTAGCAAATCACAGCCTGTGAGTCAACATTGGGCTGATGAATATTTTTGTAAATAAGGTTTTTTTGGAATCCAACCACATGCATTTATGTCTATATTGCCTGTGGCTGCTTCATACAGTGATGGCAGAATTGAGTAGTTGAGACAGAGACTGTCAGCCTGTAAAGGCGAAAACTTTCACCCTCCTGACTATAGAAAAAGTTTTCTGATCCTTGGATTCGATAAATTTGTATCAAACATTAATTTTCTTGATTCTGTTGATTTTATAGCATTTATGAAAGAGAATGGCCTTTTAAGAAAATAAACCTACTTATATCAGTAATAAATAAACTAATTTTATAAGATGATATCATCAGTGAGAACATCAAATTCACAAAGTTGTGGTGCTTCCAGATTGTTACCGTGCGCAGTACATCCACACAGGTAGATACTTGAAAAGTCTCCTGGAAGTTTGGTAACTCTCACCCTGGATTAGTAAGTATTAAGTTAGAGCCATCTGAAAGCAAAATACCTCCATACTAAAAAGCTACTATTGCCCAGTACATTGAGTCTGAATCTTTGAGATACTCAGCAAGGGGAAAGACACCGATTAATTTTAGACTCCAAGTTAAATGTGCATGTGAAAATACAGGGTTGGCATCTGCTTCCACCAATGGTTAAAAGAATGGAAGAATGCCCTCAGTCTAGAAAAACTAAAATGCTGCTAAAAGTAGTGTTTAAGTTATTTATAATTTATGGACAGAAAAGTAAGGATACCTTTGAAGACCAGCAAGCACTCCACCCTAGCACTGGGGCCTGCCTGTGTTCTGGGGACACCTGCCCATCTTGATGACCTAGAACCTGAGTACTCTGGGCCTCTGATGGGGAAGGAAGCAGAAAACAAACCCGAAGTTTGATCAGGTAGCAGGATCAGTCAACTCAAAGTAGGACAACTTATAGATCCCACTCTGGGAGGCTGAAGGAGAGAAAACCTGCAGCCCCTCCCCGGCCCTGCCCCATAGGAGCAAGCCTCACTCACCCAAGCCTATTTTCAGCATTTTACGGTTTCTCCCAGAAGTTCCGCAGAAGCAAAAACTCACACTTGGGGAAATGTATTTAGCTCAAGACTTAAATCCATTGCCACAGATAGGGCTGCAAGAAAGAAGCGTTCCCAATAAAAACAATGCACAATAAATAAGCCACTGTGAAAGAATCAGCATCAACTGAGAACTAGAGAATTAAAGCCTCAAAGACAC